AGTTTTTTATATCATTTTTATTAGTTTCATCAGATATATTTCTTAATTTGTTATGTTCAAGTATATGACTGATTTCTCAAATTCATAGGATGGATTTGACAGTATTAATAAACCTGCTTAATAACTTCCTTAAAAAAGATCCAACTTTGGCTAGATATGGTGATGCACACCTGTAAACCCAGCACTATAGAGACTGAGGCAGGAAGATCAATGAGAGTTTGAGGCCAGCTTGGACTACTTAGTGAGTGCAAGGTCAGCCCAAACAAACAACAACAACAACAAAAATCCAATTTTATATTATCTCAGTTAAAACTATGAAGCCTGCAGGGTATCCTACTAAAAAGTGAATACTTTGCAAACCCATATTATGTAAAAGCATATACTTATGCAAATTAGATATTTTCTAACTACCTAAGTAACTTCAGATAAATCATACTAATCTGAAATTAATTGAATTTAGTTTTATCTTTTATATTTTCTTCAACCACTTACCTTAAACTCTGTCATACTTAGAATGGGATAGATCCCTCAGCTAAGAAATCAATTATTTTGGTGATCAAATCTAGTCAACTCTTTCTTGTGATGTTCATAGTTAACATAGTAATAGTTGCAAGAATAGTGAGATTTATTTCATGCATAGTATTAAAATATACTTTCTTGAAATCAAAGGTAATTATATATACATATATATATATATGTATTCCTAGTTTATGAGTGAGAGAACGGAAGCAGAAAATGTGCAACCAGTCAGTGATAGAAATGGTATGCTTAATTAAAGACACTCAGCTCCACAGGGACCATTGTGAACTTCGTGGTGGTTCTTCAGTTTGTTGCCAGATATTATACCTTAGTTCTATTCATTGCAAGGTGAATGACTGCCTTTCATGGAAATGACATTGAAAATAAAAATTTGAGTATAATGAAAATGATCATCCAGCACTGACAATGGCTTTATCAAACTTCTTTCCTTTGTGCATTTTATTTGGTACCAATGAGGAACAGAAGAAGTTAAGCAATAGATATATATCAAAAGGTTTGACATATTCCAACTTAGTACTTAATGTCTGCCATTGTCTAGGTTATGATTTAAAATTGTGACATCTCATTTACATGGTGAGGTATGTAGAATTTGTTCTTATTTATTCATGTCATAATAATTTTTTCTTACATAGATTTTGAAAAATAAATTAGCAATTTTAAATGCTTGGAAGCTTCTAGATGATAATGGTGAAATAAAGGGACAATAACTAAGATCTATATCAAAATTCTTCTGGGTTTGGTAAGTGAAACTTAAAATGTTCTGTAGATATTTTATATCTTCACAATGAAGTAAAATATAATAATTTCTTAATTTTGTTAAAAAGAAATCACATAAAAATGAATTGGTTGTATATTATTTATAATATATGTTATATTATTTATAAACTCTTTATAAACTATATTATCTATAAGCTTCTAACTTATTTTACACAGTAAGAATAGGGAGTACTAAACTCTCAGAGTTGGATATTTATTGAAAGTTTGTATGCTAAGCAACAACAAAATATATACCTTGATACTTGAAGAAGTCCATTTAGATATAAATTAAAGGTAAATGCACACATTCATTTATTCAAACATGAATAATTGGAAGAAGATCTAGAGAAATGGAAAGAGAGGGGAAGAGCAGGTGAAATTATTAAGATGTGGTACATATTACATATATGTACTGAATTCCCAATATGAGTAGAATTATTAGGTATCACAATATATACTGATAAAAGACAAATTCATGCAAAAAGTATTGGAATTCCTAACATGTTTAACAGTAATTGCGAAGACTTAGGACAAACAAAATAAACGTGTTCTCTGTTTTTCTGAGGGAAAGAGTAAAAAGAAGAGTAATTAACACTTAGTGGTCTACCTGATCATAAACAATGCTTTCATTACGTGACTACTGATAAAACAAAACAAAACAAAACTTTTTTGAAGTAATCTTTAAGCTGAGAGAGAAGTATGTTTTCAGCAGAATTCACATAATAATGTATACAAATGGATATCATGACATTTTGGTGAAACTTAAAGAACCACAAACAAGTGAAGCTGGTGAGAAGAGCAAGGGGACAGTGTAACAAACTTTACAACCCAGGGTAGAGTTAGGACATCTCCAGAGAAGAGTAATTAACCATTAAAAGGACAAAGCGAGTTACAGTACCAGCTCACATTTGAAAAGTAGTGTGGGGTCACAGAGAGGATGGTGGGAAAAGGAGGTATGGATGTTGGCGTGTCTGTTAATCAATACTGAAAAATGGGGGATGATGCTCCTTAAAATTAGGAAGAAAGATGTAGTAGAAGGTTGGCTTGGTGGAGTAATGGAACCATAACAGCTCTGACTCCATCTAGTGGTTTAATCCATTAATGAGTTCATTATTTAAATAGTTTGTTGGGGGGGTGAGGTCCAGTAAATAGAAGTTGGGCACCGAAGGTATGCATTTAAGGATATATCTTCTTCCCTACCAGACTTCTCTGCATTTTTGCAACCTCCCCTTCCTGAGTGCCTTTCATTGAGCAGGTTTGTTTCATTAGACCCTTTCTACCACTATGGTCTGCCTCACCACAAGTCCATAATATTGGACACACCCAACAAAGGGCAAGAACCACTAAGATCATGAATGAAAATAAATCATTCTTCCCTTTAAGTTAATATCTTCAGGTGTTACAGTAATGAAAAACTAACAGGAGAATTCAGGGTAAGGATATAAGCACACCAACTCTAAGAAACTAAGAGGTGATTCAGGGGTTTGAGTATATGTACATTTCATCAAATTCTATACATTAAGTATATGTATACACATATATAGAACATTATATATCAATAAAAATTATTGAATAAGAAAGAAAGGGAGCCAGTTTGACTCTAAGCATTTATTAGTGGGAATACTCATCATCAATACCTAATTCAGAAATAAAAAGAAGTGCAAACAGCTGATATTTTCCAGTTTGCACATATTTAACAAATAATTCAGAACATTTCCTCAACTATGATAAACTTTTTTGAATCATTTAATTTTTTCATGCCCTTATCTGTACATGAATGTTATTTTCTTATTTTTGAATACTTAGATTTAATTTTTTCTCTGATAAATATGAAAAATGTGTTAGAATAAGGCTTTTTTTTTTTTTTTTTTTTTTCCGGGGCTT